GGAATGTAAGTAAGACTTGGGAAGAGATGTTTTGTGGGTAAGTTAGTTATGAAAGCAACATTGTTTCCTTTTTTAGTATCTTTAAATCAGGGATCTGTATCGTTCACACTGATGTCCATATGCAGATGGCTCAATATGAGGCAATAGGCGATAAATGAGAAGCGAACACCTGCCTTTCAATTTGCTAGTGTGTGTGTGAGAGTTCTGCAGCTATGTGGGTGGTAAATTGATTTGATGGTTGAACACAGCAAAGCTGCTGTAGAAAGCTGTTGCCAATAAAAAAAGAAGCACTTTAACTAAAAACTCATTTATAGCTCAATACTTTGCTATTATTACATTTTTCTATTGTTGATTTTGTTATTAAAAAAAATCAAAATATTAGTATCATTTTACTCAATAGAGCTATGAAATATTTAGAAATATTACTGCTTTTATAGATTTTGATTTGGAAAGATTTGCTGCGATTTTGTCATTAATAAAACTACTCCTCCAAAAGGAGTGTTGCTAATTAGCATGACTATTATTTACCACCATGAAAAACAAATGACCATGCTATTGCATATGGGTGTATGAGTGTGTTTATTCATCTGTCTGTTAATAAAATATCTCAGGAGCTATAAAATAGAAATTATTGAAATGCTTTCAAAATAATCATTGTAAGTACAGTGCAGCTACAACTGTTTAACTTTTGGAGTCAATCAGACTCTAGCTACCTACCTAGTTAATTGAGCTTAGTAGAAACAAAAAAGGCTATAACATGTATCCTTTTTGGGGCTATTCAATTCAATTCAATTCACTTCAAAAATACTTTATTAATCCCATAGGGAAATTATTTGTTGTTGTAACTCATTATCCTCATTTCATTAAGATATGTTATAGATGTTGATGGCTGTAGGCAGGAAGGATCTCTTGTAAAGGTCCATCCCACAGTGGATCCTAAGAAACTGGCTGCAGATGCCGTCCGATCCGTCCACCCAGACTCGGCAAGCCTCTCGGTTCCCCCGGGCTGCAGGACCGCCCGAAAGCTGGGCAGAACTCCTCCCAGAGTGATGGCCACTCCTCCCAGCAGTCTGCCATGCTCCTCATCACTGCGGACAGCCAACTGTAGGTGCCGAAGGACGATCCTGTCCTTCCACTGTCATGAGCCGTGTTTCCTGCTAGTTCCAGGATCTCAGTGGTCAGGCACTCGAGCACAGCTGGCAGGTAGATGAGAATGCATCCACAGAACTTCCTTTTCAACTCATTTGAGATTTGGGGCTGTAGTTGAGATATTATTTGAGCTTTTGAGATGTTAATCAGCTCCTGTTGTTGTAGAAAACTGCCTTGTTGCCATGGTTACGCATCATAACAAATGTCCAAAACAAACAAACAAAAAAATCTGTAAAAATCCTTCCAGCTGCTCAGCATCTGATACCTAAGGAAACACTCATCCAAAAAATGTGACTTACATTCAGAAAAAGAGGAATTAAAGTTTACAAAAGCAAAATCTCTATTCTAGAGCTATCACTGTGCGAGAGGCGGGGGACACCCTGGACAGGTCTCCAGTCCATCACAGGTCACATAGAGACAAATGAGACAAACAACCAGTCACTCTCTCACTCACACCTAGGGGCAATTTAGAGTTAACAATCAGTCTAACATGCATGTTTTTGGTATGTGGAAGGAAACCGGAGTATTCGGAGAAAACCCATGCATGCACGGAAAGAACATGGAAACTCCACCCAGAAAGGCCCCCTGGACCGGGATTTGAACCGGCAACTTTCTCGATGAGAGGCATCAGCGTTACCAGTATATGTATATAAACATGCATTTTTTTTTAAACTGCTATTTATTTGTCTACAAGATTAGAAAGTCATAAGGGAATATTTCGACAAAAATGACAAAAGTTGCCATATAATCCAAAACATAAAAACTGTTGACTCTCTGACTGTTACATGCATTAGATAAATGAAGGAAAAAATAAACAAATACAATAATGCAGGGAACAGCTCTAAAGATCACTCCAGAGAAAAACAAGAGTGAGCATATACAAGCCAGTTCCTCCAGCTTTCTCTAATCATATCAGCAGCTATGGATTAGAAGGGAGAGTGCCCAAACGGACACCATTCAAGGGCTTAAACAATAAAACTGAGGATTAAATTTGTTGAAGAAAGTGCTTAGAGAATAAAAAAAAAAAAAAAAAAAAAACAACTGAAGTATTATCAGTGCTATGATTTAAGTATCCAAGTTTGAGTAAATAGATCAGATGTTTGGGGCTTCACATAGAGACAAGAGTGAGGAAATTCTGTTTTTCTTACAATGAACTGAATTTGTACTTGTACATGGATGATTTACGAACTCCAGTCATACGTCTTTGTGCTAGTTTGCTGTGGCGACCCCTGAAGAAGGGAGCAGCCAAAAGAAGATTCATTTTAATATATAAGTTCACAATATTTCTGGATGGGAAGAAGGATATTTACCAAAAGTTTTTTTTTTAAGTGTCAAAATCCTATTTTCAAATGTTTGAAAATTTAATTTTCCATTACAGTAGTCAACTTTTTTTTCTCTTCTTAAATTGTGAAGGAAAGGTTGACACATATTTTAGAAATTTGACATGAAATTAAAAAGAAGAATCTCAACAATAGTTGCTTTTATATACAGAACTATATGATTAAAAATATTGCTAATGACAGCCTGAATGCAAACTCATCATCTCTTGCACTGTTACTTCTTTTTTTCCAGAGGTGAATAAAAACTGAATGAGTCATTGGGATTAATTTTGACAACTAATATTTCTGAATAGATTTGCATCACTTGAATAAAAATGGTTAAAAGTGAGGTGATTAACCAATCCCATCAGTATTCAATACCTTAATTTAAGCGTACTTTAATGCCACGGTATATGATGAAGGAGGATTCATGAACGTATGTTTACCAAGCGTGTTAGAAATCATGTCGGCCATTGTGTTTATTTAGTTTAGAAAATTAACTTGTAACCCACTTACTCAACTGAATATTAATGTCTAAAGCTGAAGGCAGAAGGGCAATCCTTTTTGTATGTATCCGTGTGTTCATTTGTCTGGCCTAATAACAAATTGTCTCGTCAACCACTGAATAGATTTTAATGAAACTCTGAGAACGTAATCACTTGGTGCTCATTTGGAGTCAACTCAAAACAAGATGGCTACCACAGCTTAGCAGCCTTTGCAGACACAAATGTGTCTGTAAATTGAAAAAAAAAGAGCTAAAGTTTGATGCAGTTGTCGCTGAGAGTCATCCTCAACAAATATTCCAAGTGCAAAGAGAACAAATGTAAGAAACTCCCATATGGGAATGCATATAATATTGTTTTGAGGTTTGACCAAAACAACTACAACTCTAACTCCATTTCATTGTAAATAATGACTTATGAGTAAGCTATTAAAAAAAGTGTTATACATGACACAATAATTTCCTTTTACAGCACTTGTATCATTATTGTTTTATACACCAACTCATTTTAGTTGGGCAGCAATGCCAGACAATCAGATGAACGTCTTCAATGAAATGTAGCAAACTAGTTCAGCGATTCAGTGTTCATGCCTTCAGTATTTTGGAAAGGCCTGATGTCCTGGTTTACACTGGGGGGGGGGGGGGGGGGGTGTCTCTGCATCTTGTGCACCTGGACATCTTGGCCTCAACATCAAAGCTCAAGCATGCATAACAACTACACCCGGCATGGTGGTATGGACCAGTATGGCACATGCTTTGGTCTTTATTTGGAGCAGTGTTTGCCGTTGGATGTTCTTTTAGGATATTTGGTTCTCACCAGTCCATGACATTCACCATTTCATATTTTGAGCATTTGCATTTTATTTACAATGATAATAATAATAATAATAAAAATAATAATAATAATAATAAATGCATTTGTACTCAAAGAACCATCCCTCCAGGAAAGTGGGAAATGTTGGACCCATGAGGTGCGATGATCAAAGTTGTAAATAGTTATTTGTACTAAAGTTTTCACTTTTGTTTGTTTATTTTCTACTTTTATACACCTGTCAAAGGTGAACATATTTATGTAAAGTATCCTCTTGTCTAAACATCTGTAAACTTTCCCTTTCCCACCCATAACTTCTGATCCGCTTAAGACAATGTACTTCTTACTCTTATGGATTATCACTAGACTGCATGCTGCATAGACTTTTTATGACCCCAACTACCAAGATCAAGGTCACAAATCAAGGTCAACGATTATACAATGGCTTTGTTCATTTGGGTCACTGCTCTTACAGATTGTTCTATAATACTTTTCCGATAGACTTATAATGTGCCAAATATGATTATTTTATTTTTCAAAGGTGAAATATTCTCATGTTTTGACTTGTTCAATTTTTACTAATGTTTTTCATGCTGTACATTTGTACCTTTAGGATAATCTATTGATTTATTTTAGAATTTAACTCAAAACTACCCGGTAAACCAATTATTTATTTATTTATTTTTTTTTAACCCTGTATTTATTTATAATTAGGATTTAATCACCAACTTGGATCTGCATAGTGCTGGGCAACACAGTTTTAATGTTTTTGTGGGTCATTTGTTAGCTAAATAAATTTAAAATCTCTGGTCGCATTTTGTTGAAACGCATCCAATATTATTGCTTTAAACATTGCTGGTTGCACATTACTTAATATGAGTTTTACTCAGTGATTGACATTTATTTGTGATTGCTGTTTATCTCCTAACTCCCACACTGCTGTGTTTTAAGACGTCTGCAGCTACAATTTTTGTAGATGGGGTTAAAAAAATCTGTCTAGATTTCCTGTCTCATTGAGTACTTGACATTTCATTAAGTTGTGCCTGATTCTTGCAGCTCATTATGCACAAAGTATCCCTGAATGCCTGTGGGAACAGCTGGCTGAATGGTGGCTTGAAGGAAACCAACTTCATACCTGACCTTGGAACACTTTGTGCTGTCGACTAGAACTTTTGTCTGACCATTATTGACTGTTTTTCTTTCCTCCATTTGTTCTCAGGTTAACTGGATTCCAACTGCCTTCACCCATAGTGAGTACAGGCTCCAGGCTCACCTTGTGGCTGCTGTCGGATTATGCAGTCAGCGGGCAGGGATTTAAAGCTGCCTATGAAGGTAAAACACGTCTACGTGTTAATTAAACAGCTATCTGTAATAATAGTTAAAAATATATATTAGGATGTTATTCAATACACTTTTGTTTTATGGCTCTAATATATATACTGTATATATATATATAT